GCCATGACACAACCGTGCGTCCAAACACCATGGTTTGCTCAGGTGATGTTCCGGACCACTTGATGTGTGGGTGTGTGTGCGACCAAACTCGATATCCCGCCGCGCGTTCTACTGACGGTGAACGAACAAGATCGCGTGGCAAGCTGTGTATGCTTGTGCCTAGGAAAGCATCGCATGCCTGACGGAAGTGCAGATTAACACACTGGTTCGCTTACGGTCAGACCATTTTACTGACAGCTCCCCTTGTGCACCGAGCTAACAAGTCGGGACCATCGTTCCGTCGGAAGAATACGCCCACACTGCCGTCCGCTCGGACCGTCAAAATCGATATAATCAATCTCGGCCCTTACCCTTGCTTGTTGCTGTCTTGGTAGGACTGGCATCGGGGATGACGGTGGTGGGGGTTTGTACCACATGTCGGCCGTTCAGTTAGCCGGGGTGGGGGAGATTGTAAGAGCAGGCACGCACGTGAGAGCGGACAGCTGGACGGGTCGACACGGTGGTGGTGAGGTGGATTTTGGCTGTACAGGCTAGATGACCGAATTTGTGGGTGATCCGGTCTGTGGGTGAGGGGTAGAGGAACTTCCGTGACCTACTTACCTATTCGTGTTGTGTAACCACAGTAAGACCGTCATCCTCACGCCACCCCAGCACCAGCCACCGCCTCGCCCCGTAACAACCCGAGGGACCAGAAGAGATATGTGGTACCACTGGGTGTCTGCGTCTGCGCGTGTTTTCTTGCGACAAAAATAGACCAGTTTCGATTGGAATCATCCTGCGTTTCGCTTGACATTCTTCCCCACCCATCCCCTCAGGGCTGCAACCACACGCACTGCCAGTGCGTTCGTGGCGAATGCACACACACAAAGAGGCAGTTTGTTTTCTGGGCGTCTCGATCTGCTTACTCTTCGGGCAAGCAGTCAAGGCACCCACAGGCAAATTATGCGGATGGTGAGCGTGCTCACGCGCAGACCCAAACACCGCATCCACCTTACTTCGTTACGGTGCGAGTAAGGGAGGAATAGTAGCCACTGACCTTGAAGTGACGCAATTGTGATCATTTATTTGCGGCGGAATCTCGGTATCCCTGCTGACCTAAGTATTTTTCCGCCCCTCGTTGTAGCTACACGTAAAAGTTGACGCACGGCTCCCAACAGATTGCTCGGTGCCTACGCTCGACATCACAATAAGCTTACATCAAAGGGATTTCCGATGTTACCCGGGTTAGTTGATATAAGAGTCACTGTCTTTAAAATTTCGCTCTGTTTTACGCACAAAACCAATTTTGCAAACCAGAGTGTACTGCGTTTCAACTGATTTTTCGTCAGATTTCTTTGTTAACAAACTTTCTGTACCTATTTAACCCCACACACAATTGTCCACGTTTCACTCGGTAACCCACCTTACTTCGCCATGGTGAAAAGCATGCAATCGGTGTATGTACATTTGAAACAAAACGGAAGTGAGCCATGATTGTGTTAGGTGATTTATTCTTCGTCGCGGTTTCGCGCCCTGCAATTAAAGAGAAAATCACCTTCGATCACAGATGCAACTTTGCCGCCGGTATCGCAGTTCAGGTTCATCGTGCTGTCTAGAAGTCCGCCACACCCACAGGCGTGCGGCATCCTTTATCATCAGCCCAAGATGTGTGTGTCTGTGTGGACGTGATACACTGCACTTTCACTTGCGCGGCTGCGCGTGCTCTCGGGGCCAACGCTGTCCCCGGTAACCTTCGTAACTTGCATGACAGTTAGCTTGTAAATCATGACGGCCCGAAGCTGCCCCGTGGCCCAGTGGCATAAGCTGTTGACTAGCGGTACACGCCGCTTGTGGTCACAGGTTCGAATCCTGGTGATGCCCAACAGATTGAAACTGCAGTCTTGTGCTTTTCCGGGCATGCAAAGCAGTCTGATTTGGAAGCCGATGCGAAGAACTCTCAATTAATTACTTTATGTTCAGTTTATAGTGTAACCTAGCGCATCACGTTGACTTGATCCTTAGAACATTGCGCACTTTCCTACAAATCCGTCAACAATAAATACTCTATCGATCGATATCTGCTATTTATCGGAAACCCTCCAGCTCTGTGCTCACCCTGCGGTGCCGTTTATTCGATACTGGCGGCACTTTCTTACTGCGTCTATGCGGAGATGACAGCTTCAAATGCCGGTGAAGCCAGTATGGTCATTGCTCTGAGCCCCAGGGATGTAGCTGCCCTGTTTGACTGGATTCCAGTCAACAGCCGAATCTGCGCCGTCAGACTGGCTGGCTCGTCGTTCAAGGCCACGAGATCCCAACGGGCAGTAGGTGCCTGTTTGTTATCGCTGCCTAGGCCACCACAAATGGTAATGCTGACTTGGTGAAGGATGACTTTCATCGTCAACTGAATGAACTCCCTCGTTAACGAAAAGTACAGATGTATTGCGGAATGGTGACCTGAACACTAAAAATATTCTCCACTGATGAGCTTCTTCTGGACGGCCAACACAATGTAAGATCCAGCGATCACAACAGTGAGCGGTTGTTATATCTGTGCGAGGATGCTCGTTTATTTCTCGTGATCAAAAACTTTTGAAACCGCACTCGTCACAGGGTTACATGGCGCCCGCCAGCTCCACCTCAGCTATAGACGCAAATCGATCACATCGCGATCAGTTACCGCTGGAGAGACTGCGGCCAAAACTGCCGCTCGATTTGAAACACAAGTGCGGACTTCGACCACGCACTTGTGTGTGCCGATCTGTTGATGCATTTCGTTGGAAGTCCGGGACGACGCGACTGGCGAAGTCAGATGTTCTGAATGCGTATCAAAATACGCTGGCATCCGAGCTGAGTAAGCGCTCACACAACACAGCTAATGGTCACTGGTCAAATGTTCTCCTTATTAGCGACAGGTTTGTCTTCGTGTGGATAATCCAATTGCCAGTCTGGACAGTAGGGCTCTACGCAGTCCGGAACTTCTGGATGCTCGCCGACGTATTCTGAGTAGGTGCGAACACAATGAGAATCACAAATATCTAACGGCGGATTACGTGCCAATTTGAAAAGAGACCGTGAAGGCTGGTGGTCTCATTGTGTGTCGGAAATGTGAACGGCAGCTGTTCTTCGTAACCACCGGGAAAAATCTCGTCTTATACGGGAAACGTGCAGCAGCAGAACTATGTGCGACGAAAATCAACTTATTTGACCGTATCTATCAGGTCCGCTGTCGTTCATTGATCATCCTGTTACCCGAACCGTATCTCTGGACACGCCCTCTCGCGTAGAAGTCGAACGTGAGATCGGACTGCTGAGACCGAACAAAGCCGCAGGACCAGATGGGCTTCCTCCCCCCCTTCTTCATATTTGGTGGGCCAACTCTCGTAGCCGATTTGCACGACTTACTAGTGAAACTGTGTGAACAAGAAACTATTCCAACCGACAGAAGCAGCTCTGATATTGTCCCGATTTTTAAGCTAGATTCACGGATCAGTCTGATATCCATCGCCCCTAAGTTACTTGTCGTTGTCGCTCTTCAAAGATTAATTGGTGTCCGTAAAAACCTAATTCATAAAGAACAGGCCGGGTTTCGTCCAAGTCGGGGCTACATTGACCATATCTTCACTCTACGTGAATTGCTGGAGCATCGCCATTCATATTGGCAACCCACCCTAGACGTGTTCCTTTGCACCAAATGTGTCTGATTTTATGGACCGATGTTCTGTTCAGAAATGTCTAGTTAGGAAAATATGGACCCGAAACATACGTAGAGATTATAAGAGCACTCGCACAGAGTGGGGGCTTTTGGCAAATTGTCGCCGCCCTTCATTATCTCCCATGATGTGAGAAAGGGATGCTCCTTGTCCGCTTTCCTTTTTAACTTAACCAGTGACGAGGCCATGGAAACCGTGTGCACCCATCACGAGTTAAGTGTCGAGCTGCTTCCATGTGTAACCGGGAGTATGCCGACGATATTTCCCTAATCTGTGACAGCACACAAACGTACCAAACAACACTGGACCAACTAGCAATGGCTGTCAACTGTTTCGGGCTGTTTTGCACTCCCCAAATGCGAAGACCAAGATGGACAGGGACCGCCCCTGCGATAATCATTGGTTCGAAATGCAAATACTTGGGCAGCTGTATCAGAGCCTGTGGAATAGAGGACGGGATCACGAGCCGTTTAGCAAAAGCTCGAGGCGTTTTTGCCAATCTTCACCAACTGTGGCACCGGCGTGACATCACTCTCGTCCTGAAAAGTGGAGTCCACGATGCAGTCTTCCGTACAGTTTTGAAATCTGACCCATCAAGTCGACAGACGTAAAGGGGCTGGTGGCGTACGACCACGGGCGTCTCCGCAGGTTAGCTCATATCTGGTGGGAATATCGCGTGAGTAATTAGCGTGTTCGGCTTCTCGTATGTTGTACAGGAAGAGAGCGAATCACTCAGCACCATTATCTCACTCATCGAGTTCTGATGGCTCGGTTATGTGTTGTGGATGCCAGCACGCTATCTCCCGCATCGTGCGTTGTTTGCGCGACCGAATACTGGGTGGAAGATCAGGGGAGGCCAACCGATGGCCTCGGTTGGAACGCCGATTCCCTCGTTGGGGTCCGAGAAATGATGAACGCGGCGAGGAGTCGACCTCAGTGGTATTTGTGTTGTTTCTTAATCACTTAGCTTCCTACTGCACCACGATCCCGTCGTTAATGCATATTATAAACTAAAGCATAATAATGACAATTTTTCTTTTTAATTTTTTGTTACCGTCCTATTGAATCGCATTGTGGCACAATACCTGACGTGTTTCTCGCCCCTAGGCTGACCTATAAAATGATGATGATGAATTTGTCTTCTGCCAGCATCTGATATGAAACTGCTACCCCTACGAGCTGATGATGTACCTCGACTGGTAAGGAGACATCTGCGATCGAATTGTTCAGCAACTCAACTAAATAATGACAAGCGTTCTTTCCATTTACTATTCCGATTTTAACAAGTTTTCCATTTTTGTCCTCCAGAATTCCGGTGGCGCGTGTTCGTCGTACCAATTTACAGGATTGCCTTCCCGCTGCTCAAGTCGAGGACGGAACGATCCATGCAATGGCGGGACCAATAATGCCACTTCAATATCGTATCCTTTGGCACCGGCATCGGTCACGTCGGCGTGTTCCTCCGCTTCCTCTTCCTCGTCTTCGTCCGCTCGGACATACTTACATGAGCTGTACCAGCAGCGTGAACACCAATATCACCAACATCTACAACAAACGTCGCAGCGAAGCGTCAAATCTCCAGTTCACGACCTTACAACTCGTCAGCTCCTATCCGAGGCGGCCGCCACTGCATATGCCCATGGATTAGGTGAGTTAGCTTTTTCGACCACCGTAGTGGCGGAAGGATTACGACATAAAGAAGTCGTGATTACTGGTGTGTCACTGAAACCCCAGCGCGTTCTTTTCACCTACTGCTGAGCATAGCGCCGATTACCTCACACCGTGTGTTCCGCATAGTACACCTCTCTTTGACACGTGCGTTCCAAGGTAAATGTATAACCGAATTCGTCTCAGTCGATTTTTCTGAGTAGTTTTGTTGGCTGGTAATTTGCAAATTCGATCAAGCGAACCATATAAGCAACTTTGGTGATGATGAGCTGACGCAGCATCGCACACCTTGTCATGTTCCTTGCGCCTTCAAAGCGCAGGATGCAGTTACCCAATTCGATCGGCACACCACCAGTTCCCATTTTGCCCGTCGCCTTAAGGATCACAAGCCTGTCTTATAATCCTGACGTCGCAGGTTAGAGCCTGTGTAGGGGACGGGGCGACCCTCTCAGTATCCTTAGCTTACGCGCGATTCCAGGTGGTTGCGTGACAGCGAAGTGTCGGTAAGGCGTACCGACCTACTACTGATGCATGATAACGATGAGCGGTTGCTACACCTGTGTGGAGATGCTCCTCTCTCTCGCGAGCACTAACTTCCGACAAAGCACCCGCAAAACAGTGACATGCCGCCCACCATCCTCGGACCAGACGTGGAAGCAAATCGATCACATCGTGATCAGTTACCGTTGAAGGGGCTGTGTTCAAAACTGTCGCTCGATCTGAACTCTGACCACACACTTGTTTGCGCGGACTTTCGAATGTGTCCGCAAAGTCACTGTGATCGCAAATTGGCGAAATCGGTTGTTCTGGATGCGTATTAAAGTACGCTGGCATCTGGACTGAGTAAACGCCCATTGAACACAGTTGAAGAGCACTGGTCGCATATCCGCCAGACGTTATTGGCAGCAGGCATGTCTTCATGTGGCAAATCAAATTGCAAACCTGGACATTTGGTCCCTGTGCAGTCTCTTCTGGATGCTCGCCGAGGTATTCCTGCTGGAAGCGAATACAGTGAGACTCGCAAAGATCTCAGGGCGAAACTGCGTGCTAGCCTGAAAAGAGACCGCGAAGCGTGGTGATCTTATCGTGCATCGGAGATGGAAACAGCCGCTGCTCTTGGTAACCACCGGAAGTTATTCCGTCTGATATGCGAATTGGCAGCAGCAAACTAGGTCCCGCATAAAACGAGTGACCGAAAAATGCCCGCTGGAGGGCCCTGAATGGTTAATTTTATGCCCCTGGCCCTCCCATTTAGACACATTTGGAACGAAATTCGGTCACTCAGAAAATTTTTCCAGCGTAACCGTAACGTAGACCGTGATTTCCTTGTTTTCTGGTTGCAGATACCGACAATAATAAGCGGAAATCGAATCCCAGATATTAATGACACAATCATATATCCGTAAGGCCAAATCCCAATTTTTGAGTGGGCGCAATTCGTCCCAAATGTGTTCAGTTGAGACCATCAGGGTATAAAAACAGTAACTCAGGACTCTTAAATGGTCATTCGCGCTGACTGAAATTATGATTTTAATGACAAGTGGACTTACAAGCAAAGTACGGTGGTTTTAAAGATGTATGTGTATATTCAAAAATGTATATGGACATATGCCGCCATTTATTTTCACATTCACTCTTCGCCTGCGAGTGACCAAAAGCGTGCCCAAACGGGGCGCTTGGTCGCCCTAACAGTATCAACAGTCTATTAAATAGACATAGAGCCAACAAAAACCATGGGGATTAGAGGATAAGGGGCAGAGTCGCCGCGTCATACTTATCGTGCTGTAGTAGTTGAAGGTGAACAACACACTTCAACTACTGTACCGCAGGAAAAAAGAAACATTTTTATCTTTTCACAAGCCACATTTTTAATTTTTCTACTTATTAGGCATTAAGCTTCGGAATCTAAGCATGTACACGGATCAGAGGAAGCTACAATTTGATAAAAAATATAACACTTTTAGTTCGTTTTTCGCAAGCCGATTTTTCTCTTTTTTGTCATTTGCAATGTTTGAGGTACTAAACAATGTGATTCGATACGATTATGTACAAAATTTCTCCGATGTTTCTGATTGCGCGCAATGTCTTCAAGCGTGTTAAACCATTGGCACTCCTCATCCTTGGGTCCCCATTCTGGAAGATGTACGGGTCCAACGGCGGCTAGACGCGACATCAGCGATTTCATGTACTGGCGCCAAGTAGGAAGGCGGACCACCACGCTGCTACGAAATCACCATCAGTCGCGCGTGGGTCAAGGATACTGCGAGGATCGCCCGGTCCCCTACGCAGACTCGAACCCGCGCCCTCGGATTACAAGGAAAGCTTGTGATCCTTAGAGCTGGTGATTCATGGCAATATCTTAATATCTGACTTGCTTGTTGATTTTACCGTATACAGCAAACTCTCTGCCCTCTTGCTATGCTTCTCTCTCAACGCTCTTCTCAGGCTAAACAACAAGAGATTGTCTTTCAATCGCCATACAAACCAAAAATTTCATTTTACTGTGGTACCTTTTACGCCCATACTTTATATCAATCGCTTTAGCAGATGACACTGGCTCTCACATTCCACTATATTGGAGTTGAGGTGTGCTGTGTCTTCAGCAGTAGCTTCGTAATGAACGCTCGGCTTCTACTGACTTTTCGCATCTCCAGTTATGAGGAGTGGACGGCTCGAGGTGTTTGCAGTGTATTGTCCTCATCCAATCCAAATGGATAGCCGGTTGTGCTCGATTCGATTTTCCACGTCCAAAGGGGTTAACAAGTATTATCAGAAGATACCGCAGCTTCTTTATTGTCTCGGTGAAGTACCAAACCAGTTTGGAGAACATCAAACACAAATTTCATCCCAAACTGTCATCCGTTTTCCGTTTGGTAAGCAACACATGAATACTCGAATAAATCGCTTATTGGAGGCTCAATATACGATAGAAAGCTGTTTGGGGATTCATTACATCCGGACGGACAGCGGAAATCGTTTTTTTCAATTACTAGCAACACCACATTCGAAGATAAATAACCCATCAACTCATTCGGCGTCCACAGAATTCATACAGGCCTCAGGCGCAGATCGATCATTTACACCTGGTTGCAACATTGTGGATCAATCCGAATGTACCCTTTAATCCCAGTCACGCCCTGGCACTCACCCACATTGCAACTACTGTTCTTAACCTCGCGGTTGTCTACTCGCATCTAGACTCGTGGTCCACAAATTTGAAACATCAAGACGAATTAAACAGTAAGTGGTTGGATCGAATGCCGTACGAAAAGCATTCGGGTCATACGTCCGCCCAGTTTGAAAAGTCGGAATTGAGGGTAGTTTTTGAAACACCGACTAGTCTGGTTGAAGCATACAATGTGGTTTCACTGAATATTCAGTCCAACGATGTTTGTAGCACCCTAAAACAGCGCCTAACTAAGAGTCACATAACTAACCACGAGTATTAGCAGGTTACGAGAGTTCGTGAAACCGAAAAGTCATGTGCATTTGGAAGTAGCCGAGTGCTGTTCCGGCTCAATCGCAGCACATCTCCGAGAACGCTCTCAACAAGTGATACACAGTGGATAAGGAATATTGACCACTGATCCATTCTCAGTCACGGCAACTACACCGATGGTCGGAGCATTTTGAAACACTTTGGTAGATCGTCAATGTTACTCCTGTTACGACTGAAACGAAGAGTTCCCTCATTTTTCGAACTTCATAATTTTTCGTCATTTAGTTTGGGATTCGCATAAGTTATTACGTTTATCTTCAACTCCGCTAGACCCTCGTGCGTCGTCTTTGCCGGTTATATTGAAGCGTTTCCCGAACGGGGGTCGAGAGCAGTGTTCAGCAACACACTAGGGTCGGCTTACACCACTCATTTTCCGCATACACACTGGTCCTCCAAACGTTCTGCTCTTAAAACCGCATTGAATAAGCACCAACGTAGCAGTTTGGATATACTCAGCGTTTATATCACTTTCGTCGACGTGATGCAACCACCATTTTCTTGGATGGAAGATGACAAACTACCCATATGCTGAAGGATGAGCAGATTCCAGGGTTTACTGATCTCTGATCAGATACTTTTTCTCAGCCTTCTGTATCAGACACTCGTGATCCTCCTTCACTAAGGAATCCTAACCTCGAGTTGATACAACCGGTATCCACTGATGAAATGCTATCCGCTCTTCGGCTTCTGGAGGGATCTGCACTCGATGTCGATCGCATTGCTTCAAATGCTGTAGCCCGGGTGAACCCCATTTTCGTCACTTCCGTTTTCACCTGTCTTCTCACATCTTATCCCTATCCGCCTCAGAGTACCTTCGTACCCAAGATTCCCTCTCTCACGATTGGAACACATTTGATCCATTTATGTGACATGTCTCCACCCACTTACATCAACGCATTCCCTTCGATAAATTGTTTCCGTCTTTTCCTGTGGACCGTCTTCGGTTTGGATTTCTTCGCAAAAATGGTTGTTCGAAGCCTAAACTATTATTCACGCCGTGTATCGTTCTTATTGTTTGATACACCGCCCGGGGTCGAGCACTCTTGGTGCATCGTCTCAGAACGCTTCATGAAGGCATCTTTTCATTCGCTTATCAATTAACTAACTGAAGTCAACTAATTCCGATATTTCTGGCTCGTGGCTTTAAGGACCACAAACCTGCTTTGTAATCCGAGGGCGCGGGTTCAAGCCCGTGTAAGGACCGGGCGACCCTCGCAGTATCCTTAGCCCACATGCGACTGGTGGTGGTTTCGCGGCAGCAAAGCTGCGATACTGCGTACCAGCATACTGCAGGTCCCTTTAATCCTAATATTATTATTATTATAATATCGTCGTGTACCATACAATAAAAATTGCTGTCTTGGACACATTTCCATCCTCGTGTTCCTCGATCACCGATTCAACTGTACGAATTGTTCAGTTATTTCGGCCCTCATCTCAACTGGAGAGGCAAATTACCGCCTGCATCCCTAGAACAATTT